AATTTTGATTGCAGGACCACATCCTCGCTATGTTGGTGGTACTAATGCTGACTGCGACCCCGGCTGGTCACACTTTGCAATTGTTCTGTAATGTTCCTGATCCTGGTACCAGGAAGGCAACACACCATCTTAGAGCCACATCAACAACCACAGAAATACTTGCCTGTTCGCCTAAAGAATTCCTTGTCAGTACTGCCCTTCTGCCTTTCTTCCTCCCCTCCTGTAAAGCTGTGGTGCCACAGGCTTGACTCTATCTCTATTTCAAGGATTTACCTCCTTCACCAATACCCAGAATCTCTAGCTACTCCTACACTACCTGCCTGTTTCTCTTGGGTTGCCTTGTAGTCACCCATTCGCTATTTCCCTATCTTGCAGTGTGACCAACTCTTGAACTACATTTCTGCATGTTCAAAATTTTTCAGTATTGAATACTTGAAGCTATTGCATAATATTTATGCAGTAAATAGTCAGAAATTTACTTAATTACATTTGAACAACAGGCTAGTGAAACGGCATTTTCACAAATCTTGTTGAAGAGATGCTATAGCTAATTGGGATCCACTGTGTGGCAAATAGATTAGAGCTTGCTGTCAAAGATGCACGCAGACACAGCTCAGATAGAGATCTTTGACCTCACATGCCATCCTCCAGGATGTCACCCAAGTGTCTTCAGGACATCAGTGAACTGATCATCTTGCCAGAGAAAATATCCTCAGTCCAACGTGAGTAGACAGCACTTGTTAAAATTGATCACAGGTGATAAACAATCAGGCATTGAAGAAAAACTACGCCATTGCTATTGCTCATCAAAAATGGGCACAAGTGAGCAACACACTTAAAGCCAAGGAAGCAAGAGGAACAATAAAGCAGATTATATACAACAAATCACCGAATCACAGGTTAAGGTGCAGGAGGCAGCCATTCAGTCCAAATTCTTTCACCATGTGTGTTGCAAGTAAAATTTTGGAGAGACTCTAATAACCTCTCTCTTTTCTTCCATAGAGGGAATGCAACGTTACTTGAGTCAGATAGCAGTGTCATCATGGCCCAAGATGACATTTGTGACACGACACAGGAATGTGACAGTCCCAAGCAGCGATCCAGAGACGAGTACCATAAAGCAACCTGTACGAGGTATTAAAATGAAAGGAATTGCACGAGGTGAAGCACATAAGCAATTTGGCTCAACCAAAGGTCCTTGAAGCTGTGACAAAAGTTTGATCAGAAAAATGGCATAGGAACTGAAAGACTATAGAGAAGTTGATGTGAAAACACTGCTACAAACACTCCAAGATACCCTTATTTCCCATGAATACAAATCTGATGAACAGATGGCTGTGTGTGCTTGACTAAAGATGGCCCAAAAATGCTATAGAGCAATATCAGTGCCCTGTGAAGTAAGCTCTTCAAAAAGAGGCAAGAAGAATTCTAACTTTTCCCATCTATTGGAGATCATGTAAATAATATTAGCCATAGCCAAGGCAGAAAAGGTCTTCTCCCTCATGAACAGAAGAGTAACTGCTGCGTCAGATAATTATGAAGGCTTCTTTGTCTTGATAGTAGGAGCTTCTCAATTGCTGCTGGAACTGCATTTAAAGATGACAGCAAGGAGTACTTTCTGATTTGTGCCACGTAGTGGGTGAAGGGTTTTGGGTAGTCAAGAGATGAAATCACTCACTCCATTATATCCAATTTCAAATAAACTGAGTTTCTCAAGCAATTTGTGGGCAGAGAAACAAAATTGAGTCTGATGATTCTTCTTCAGAATAGGCCTACAATCCAATCTCTGACCTACTTTTGCAGGCATATTATTTGAAGCTGGTCCAATTATCTATCGCCTGTTAATAACAACCTACTATATGTTACTTTAGTTAATGCCTTGCGAATCCAAACAATACTTCCACTGTTCTGCTAATCTAGGTTTCTACCAAAAATAGATTTGCTAGTTCTCCAGATTCTCGACAGAAAAACAGCTTTGATTGGATCATCATGTGACCCAAGTGCAGCATCCTTTGAACAAAAAAGATTGCTTCCTGTTGCGCAATGAACAGTGGAAACAAATGTGCCAAGGAGTTTAGGGGCAAGAAATGAAACAAAAAGTCGTTGGAACTACAAATGAACTAGCAATGTAAAAAGCAAAACATTCACGTCTAGTAGTAGATTCTTAAATGGAGTATCACAACATTATCTTGTAGTTCATACGAAACTAGAAGTCCAGCACCAGAGAAATATATCAGTAGATAAAGTATGTTTTTAAAGTTTCTAATGTGCCTAAACAGACACTATCCACATGAAAGTTTCTAACCTCCAATTCCTCATGCATGACACAGGGGGCACCGTTACCGACTGTGTCACATTCATTAACTAGAATAAACCACAGGTAAATTTTGCACACTGATCAGACAAAGTAATTTATCAGATTTCCATTCCCTAGAATGCAGTAGGACTGAAAATCTAAATTCCCTGAAGAATAGCTTTTCCACACAAATTAACTCATTTTTATAATCAACTGATAAAAACAAACTTTTTTTCCCCCAATATATGGCATTATAACAGTAGATCCAACACCTGAGCAGGTAATTAATAATGTACTTTACACAGTGACGACAGCCAGGGTCTGGTATTCATGAATTTGCCTGTGATAGATAATGAAAGGGAAATGTACAGTAATGCAAGTCTAACAAAAAACAAATGGACTGTTATCGCTTCTAAAGGTATGTAAAAAGGAAAACATTTGGCTAAAATGAATACGGGTTCATTACAGTCAGGAGAATTTATAAATGAGGAAGAGGGAAATAGCAAAGAAGCCAAATGATTACTGAGGAAGACACAATAAATCTCTCAGAATTAGGGGTCCAAGTGACTGAAGAATGAGGCTTTGAAGGAAGAAGCAAGTTTCCTAAGAAGTTGAACTGGAGAAATTAATGGGAAGGCAAGTTGATAAGATCAGATCCCAGGACCAGATGTTCTACATTCCTAATTGTTGTAGATGGCAGCAATGGAGACATTGATGCGTTGGTAATCTTCCAAATTCTACAGATTCTGAAATGATTTCTGCAAATTGAAGCTAGAAAATGTCACCCCATTATTTAAACAGGGAGTGAGAGAGAAAAGTATGAACAGATCTTATAGCCTTACCTCAGTAGTAGGGAAAATGTTAAAATCTATTGTGAAGGATGTGATAAATGCACAAATGAATAATGATCTGATTATGTCCAATCAGCATGGATTTATAAATGGGAAACGGTTCAACAAGCTTATTAGAAGTTTTGAGGATTCCCCAAACAAAATTGAGAAAGGGGAGTGACAGATATGGTATGCTTGGGATTTTTAGTGGACTTTGTTAAGTCTAGAACTGGGGACACAATTTAAAGGCAAAAGGGGAATACCATTTAGGACTGAGAAAAGGAGAAATTTTACTCAGAGGGTTGAGAATCTTCTGAAATCTCAACCCTAGAGGACCACAAAAGCTTAGTATTTTCAATGTGTTTAAAAAACAGGTCGATAAATTTTTGAGTACCAATATTGTGAAGTGTTTAGGGATAGTGTAGATAAAAGGGATCAAAGCTTTTGATCAGCCATGATCGTATTAAATGGATGATGGGCTGAGTAGCCTATTCCTGCTACATTCCTCAGTGCAGGGAAGAAAAAGTTAACTATGTATTCTATACAAAAACATTTTTCTTGACATTTAATTTTCAATTTCTAGTACTAAACATGGTCCAGGCTTTAGGGGTCAGTGGTGAAGTGATAATGCTCAACACCAGCTTTGAAGGGAGCTGTACACTTGAACTTGAAGAGATCACAATGTTAAGTTCTTTGGAATCTAGCAATAGTTATGCTATTGGGCAGGCTAAAGCAGATAAACAAACGAAAAATTCTGCCAGATTGCAAAGCAGGAAGTAATAATAATATGTTCTCATTTGCTTTTTATAATTTCACAGAAAATATAACAAAAGCTGGGATAAACATGAGATTAAGATAAATTGATATTTATTTCAAAGTATTTAAAAAATGGAATGGAAAAGTTTGTTATTCTAGAAAATTACGTTTTTGGGGCTAGAGGGGTTGTTTAGCAATCTGTGACTTAGAATATCATTAAATAGTTAACCTCATTCAGCCAGATATGTTTGTTACTAGTTTTATAGGGAGAATGTCAATGCAAAATAAATAAAAAAAAAAAATGGGTGTTCACATGGTTTTAGTGATTTCTAACTTGTTTTCCAGCAGCAAATAGCACACTATGGTAAAGACTAAGGAACCACTGACAGCAGCTTTCAAATTTCCACGTTTGACTGTATATGTGTAGACACCAGTGTTTGCTGTCAGTTTCAGAAGTAGTAATGATGAATACTGACAGTGGCACATCATTACAACTACAAAATTTGGATCATTATTTTTAAACAGCTATTTGTAGGTCAAATTTTTTTGTACTAAGTGCAACCAAAGACCATTTCACTACAAGTCACATGTAGATCACTAAAAATGAATAATGGTTTTCTATGTTGACAAATGCCACCTACTCTAAACAAAATGCCAAGAGCAAACATCAGCCTCAGAAAAGAGATTATTAATTCAAAAGGACAGCATTGATAATACTGAGGAGGAATGATCATTCGCACTGCTAGAAGTTAGAAATGCTTAGTTGAAATGAGTCCCATCGTTCATAAGCCTATTATCATGAACCCACAGAACATTAATAAGACTATTAATAAGACTATTAATAAGACTATTAATAAGAC